AACCCCTCCGTAAGCCTCTGCCTATCTACTCTGCCTACTACTCCTGCCTGCTGCTCCGCCTGCTGCTCTACCTACTATACCGCCTGCTGCTGCTATCGTTATAGCGCTGTTACTCGTAGCGCGCCGTAAGCTTCAATCGCTAGAAAGGTACTACGAACATCTAGAAAGAGACTCCCTAGCGCAATAGGTAGGAAAGGGCTTCTATCCGCAGGTATAAAGAAAAATCAAAAAAAGAGAGGCAGTAAGTATACCTGGTCGGCAGACGTAGTCGGCATATGTAGTCGGCATATACTAACATTTCTTTTAGAGGGAGCTTTGTAGGAGATCAAAAAATGCCAGACAGAGGTTATAAACTATATCCTAAAGCTCGCGTTCGTACGTATCGTTAGGGATGCTATTAGGCCTCATTATAGGTACAACCCACCCTGGTGGGTATGTGGGGTGGGTTGGGTATTGGCAATACCCAATGGGTATGGGTATTTAGCTGGGTAAACCCAACCCATCGGGTTGGGTACAAACCTAGTGGGTATTACGATACCCAGTGGGTATTGCGTACCTATTGGGTATTGATTTTTCGTAAACAGAAAGAAAAAGCCTAGAAACCGAGTGCCCTAAGAGCAAGTTATTTGAACTAGGTATTAGAAAAGAAACTGTATATAAGCCCGATATAGATAAGAGGAGAAAGAGAGTAGTCAGATCGAATGAATAAATATAGAAGAATATATACGCTAGATTACAGCTTGTGATATTTTGAAACTTAAGTACTATAGTCGGCAAATATGGTCGGCAGGTAAACTTCATACAAGCTCAAACCAAGCTCGCTATAATCGTCTCGTAGCATCCCGGAGGCACTCTTGCGCAAGCTTGAAGCTTAGGCGTACCGATCGCCTTGGCTCCTCTACCCTATCTCCCTCATCATCGCTGATTGCATCCAAGTCACTGATCCGTTCTATAAGATCTTTTGTCTGCTCTCGGTCTTCACTTAGGATCTCCTGTGAAGTTAGAGTACTAAGAAGCGCTTGAGCAGCCTCTGTAGCCTCGTAGGCGATAAGAACTCTGGCATCGTACTCATCGTCGCGGTAGCGGAAACGGGATACTATTAGTTCAGAGAATGTTGATACGGAGTATTGGCGATTAAAACGACTTTGGTGTCGAGCGATACTAAAATCGCGCTCACACCCAACTCCGGCCGTAGGAATACAGAGAATATCCCGCGCTATTAGTGCGAGAGTAGGGTACTTAGGCTTAAGCGAAGACTATATCTTCAGTACCTCGAATGGATCCCCTTCATCTATATTAGCGTCCAGATAGTCGGCAAGCTCGTCACCCTTACGAGTGCTACGTCGTTGAGTTTAAGAAGACTCTGCACTCCTACCAAGAGTAAAGTCGATCTGGCCCTTATGCCGACCACTTCTACTATGTAACTCGTAGGTAGAAGTGCTCGATAATAGACGATAGCTCTTCTCCTACTCTGTTCTTAGCTTACCCTCGTAATACTCGCGGTAGCTTTCATCCCCGAAGTCATCGCGTACCTAGAACTTCCGCTTAAGGCAGGGGGTAAGGAGGACACTAATGCCGTAGTAATCGCCAAATCGATCCCAGGTATCTCGATAATATTTCTCAAGCTTAGCCCAAGCAGCCTCGTATGCCTAATATACATCCTTCTTCCAAGGTATCCTCTTATTCTTGAGTTGCTTCATCGCCTCCTCTAGAATGTCGAAAAGCTGGTTGTAGTATACGAGGACAAGGTAGATAGTCGGACCTTTCGTTGTTCCGATCGTTGCTGTCGCCGCTGCGAATGGTTTCGTAAGGTCGATAAGGTACTTAACCCTTTGCTACTCTTCGGAATCGATACCTATATCTTCACTTAGGTCGAGTCGATCGATATAAGATTCGATAACTCTTTGCAGTCTGCTGAAGCGATCGAGCATTAACGTTGTTGAGGACTACCTTGTCTTTACGTCTTGAACGACCCTTAGGATCCGATCTTGAACGCCATTCCACCGACGGTGCTTTGCAAATGGCTCCTTCTTTTGAAGCATCTCTTTCTGCAGGTCGATAAACTGCTCGAACCTTTGAGAGCTCGAGTTGATAAAGACGCAAAGTTTCCGGATCTAGGGATCGAAATCAGCGAAGGGAATCTCGAGTGCCGACCATAATTGCCGACTACGAGAGCCGACCATACTTTGAAAATAGGAAGGTTAATAGGCGATAGGCTACAGAGACTGATCTTACCTTCAGAAGGAGGTAAGGCATACTATTAGCTTGAGGGCGGCTGATCTGCTTACTCTGTTTTCTCCTCCTCTGTAATATCTGCCGATCTTTCTCGTAATTCTAGTATTCGGAAAGGTCGTTAGTCGGACAGAGCCCTAGGCGGTCGAAAAAGGCCTTTAAGGGAAGCTAGGCAGTATATACAAAGCAGGGAAATCGCTCGGGACGGCTAGCTCGATTATACTCCGCGATTGCCTCCTCCTTATCCTCTCCTATCTCCGAGTCGGGACTACTCTCCGTACCTTCCTCTAAGCTCGTTGCTGGCCTCCTAGCCGTTATACCGTACCTCTCTTAACAAGTATCAATCGCTGAAACACTATAGAATATTAGAAGGAAGTAGGAAGAGTAAAGCAAGTAGTCTTACATCGCATTGTGTAGGGTCTTATTGTTCGAGGCATTGTCGTACGTAATTACAGTCAATCGGCACTCAATCTCGAACTCTTGTAAGATTTCGAATAGTATCTCCGCAAGGTAATCACTAGTATAACGGCCAGTAATATATAGAAAGCCAAGTATCCCTTCGTACTAGACCTAGTAGTCGTCAATCCAGTAGACCCGGATAGTAAGGAATAAGGTTTTTATACCTCTGGATTGCTAGCCATTACACGCGATAGCCATCTTGAATCTACTAGTAAGACGGGTCTTAAGGGATTCAGCAGACTCTTGAACCTTGGTACCGAGCATCCTACGGTATATCGAGGCGGATTTGAACTGAATTGTCTCGACCTGTCCCGGGAGTAGGGCTATATAAGTCTGTTTTACTGACGGTCGTTCAAAGAACTGGAATAGCAGACCATTGTCGATAATCATCTCGAAGGATAAGCGCGGGAAATCGTCCGGTGTATAGCCTAGGTCCCTCGTCTATCGCGGATTGCTTATAGTCTAGAGATAAAGTTTCAGTATAGTCACTTAGACGTAGTCGGCAGACATAGTCGGCAGGTATGGTCGGTAGGCATAGTCGGCAGGTCTGGTCGTCGGTAGTCAGTACTTACTTGTCGATACTTTGCGGTTGCAAACATCTCCTTCGTAAACCCTCGCTTATCTTGTTTCTCCTAGTAGTTCGAGGAGTCCAGATGCTTCTTGACAGACGTTGTACCGGTATTTAGTACAGGATGTTTTAGTATAGCGTTACAGCACCTATATACGACTTTGGGTATCGTATCTTCTTAAAGCATTCCCTCCTCTAGGAAATCCTATACCTAAGATGTCCGAGACTTACTCCCCTAGGTAACTAGGGACCGATCAAATATAGTACGACCGTTCCGCTTTTTGAGCCGCTTCCCAGTATAGTTCTACTAGCGTACCTCGTACTACTTCTCAAAGTTCTCCTTATACTTGAACCTCTATAGCTAGCAGTTGGCCTTAATATCCTACTCCCCGATATAGTCCGGCTTAACGGGGAGTACTAGAGAGGAATCTAGATCTTCTTCCACTATAGTCGGCCGTCTTGTACGACGCTTGCGAACCTCTGTTCTACGTCGGCGGTCCCCTAGTGTTGGGCTCGGTAGGAGGTTCGTCGCGGAACTATATCGTTGGCGTAAGCGAGCGCTCGATCGTGTAGGGGTAGCAGAAGAGCTTTCTAGCTACGAGGAGGATTCGAATCGGGAGCTTCCGACTCCTAGAGAGGAAGCAAAGGAAGACGAAAACATAGTATTTTAGACTCCGACGTCGTGAATCCGTTACGAGAGGATAGAGGAGAGGGAACGTAGGAATTGAAAGGAGGGAAAGTAGGAATTTCAGAATCCTAGTACGCTACCCTACAGGGGTTGAGCGAATAGAATTCGCAGGCCTACTTCCGGCTGCGAGCCAACCTATCAGATAGTCTGATTCTTACTACCAACCCTCCTACCCTTTCTTCTATCCCTCTTCGTCTTCTTGAAACAGGCGAGGCTCCTAGTCCTCCGAGTCTGAAATCTCGAACCCTCTAACAAAGTTGCGAATATAGAGTCCTTCGTAAGTACCTTCTCGATTCCCGAAGATGCTAGGCATAGTTCATCTTCTCGCAGTAGTGGGAGTAGAAAGGCCTCTAGAGTAATCCCATTATACTCTTTGACATTGCACTCGATAAGGGCAGCTATTATCTTAGGCTAGAGAGTCTGTTCGCGGCTCAGAGTATTCTCCCTCTTACAGAGCTTGTATACTATCTTCGCGAGGTGCTTCTT